CAAGAGGATGGGTCAGTCCATGCTTGCAGCGGCCTCTATTTCAAGATCACCTTTTCCCTGATCTCGAAGGGTCCGATCGACCCTTCACTCGACTGCCGGCTCAGGAGCCTCATCAGCGCGGTGCAGTTGGCCATGAAGATGGTCCTGCGGACCCATGATGTCGTGAAGGACCCGGCGGCTCTGGATGACGTTCTTGCTATGGCCGTAGCCATCGCGTCTCTCTGCGGCTCCGAGAACTTCGATCGCGACCAGGCGCTCGGCCTTCTCGCGAATTCGTGCGCTGCTCTCCTTCCCGGGCAAGCGTGTACCGCATCCGTTGTCGCCGTCCTCGCCGCGTAGCGCCAGCGCAAACGAAGTTCGCGTAGCGGACAGCCACAAATCCTTTCCTTCAAAGATCGAGGTTTTTGACCATGAAACGTATCAACGTCTTTGGCGCCGTTATCTGCGCCCTCTACGCCAGCTTCGGCATCAAGTCTGGCTTCGCGCTCTATTCACTCTATCAGGGCGCGGCATTTTCATGGGTTCATGCAGCGGCCATTGCATACGCGATCGGGTTCGCCCTGATTGTCGTTCTCGTCGCGACAGGCCGCTTCTCGCTGAAGTATTTCGTTCTCCGGATGGACGAAGCCGACGACAAGCGACGAGCGCCCTGATCAGGGAAGAGTTGGCCGAGCTCAGTCAGGTCGGCCGAGCTGTCCCTCGGCAAGCCAACCCCGCCCGATAGGCGGGGTTTCTTTTTGTCAGACCCACCAATCATTGGTCCGATCACCAACCGCCCGAGCATCCGCGGATCGGGCGGACGTATCGTGTTTGCCGAGAGCTTGTATCATTTATCACCGATAAGTGACGATCAGATTCCGGGCAGCGAGTGTCGCTTGCGGAATCCGATGTCTAAACTGCTGCTTAAGTCTGAAACGAATCGAGTCGAATTAGGATTCGCCGCGCGGAGATGTCTATGTCAATCAAGGCCATCGCATCAGACGCCGCGGCAACGTCGGGCTTCTGTTCGGACTGATGGCGCCGGTGCTGATCGCCAGCGTCGGGGTCGGAATCGACTATTCCCGCGCCGCTGCCGCGCGCACGGATCTTCAACAGGCAACGATCGCGATCACCCAGCAGATCACGACCGAGATCAATCAGTGCCTTGATCGCCAGCGCACCCTGCAGACCGGTGCGATCCAGAGCGATCTCGATCGGCAGTGTCTCAACGACACCGCATTCATCTCGCAGCTGCTCCAGCGCGCCCAGCCTCTTCTCACAGCGAGCTACCATCAGCGTGGCCACAGCTCGGCGCCCATCATCGTTGGAACGCCGTTCCTGGACCGCGCCAGCGGCGTCTATCGCGTTTCCGCTGCCGTGACCTATCCCTGCTATATCATGCGGGCTCTCGGCCCCTCTTGCAGCGTGGACGTCGGCCTTGGCTCCACGACGACAGATGCGTTCGCCCAAGCCAATGTTCTGACCGTCAATGGACCCGACACAATCGAGATCTGGGCGGGGCAATCCGGCGGCGGCCTACCGGCTCAATTCACCGGAACAGGTGGCTGGCCGGACTATCAGTGGATGATGGCTGGCGTTCCGCTTCCGGGGGTCTCTATCGATGTGAACAGCGGGATCGTCAGCGGAACGCTCAGTGGCACCTCCTGCACTGCCCCCTGCGATGTCCAGTACATGGGCATTATGCAAATCGGTGCGATGGACTCGGGCGATCCGAACCGCGATCGGATCAACCGCCAAACGGCGGTGACCGGCACGAAGATCTACTTGGTGCATCCGGTTCAGCTTCAATTCGAGCTCGGAGGGTCCGGCCGCCCCAGGGTCGAGCAGTTCGGGACGGCTGGGCCTCCGATTGCTCAACCCGATGGCGGCACCTCTGTGTCGCAGCCCAACCTGCTGCCTCCTTTCGGTCTGCGCGGCTCCGGCGTCAGTCCTCCTGGGGTATGGTTACGCCTTCAGCTAGCGCGCAGCGGCGGCAAGGCGCCGTACAATTACTCGGCGAGCCTGCCTCAGGGGTATTTCCTTGAACCGTCGACCGGCGAGGTGTTGATCAACACCTACTACATCCGGAACGCGCCATCTTCCGTGACGATCGGCGGCTCCGTGAGTGACGGGAGAGGATTTTCGGCAAACGCTTCCGCCGCGTTGAACTTCAATGGTGGCGGGTCTTCCGACTGGAATAGGTAAGCATCTTGAGATCGAGGCACCACAACCCGCCCCTTCGGGCGGGTTTTCTTTTGCTCTCGGTAACGCCGATCGAGCCGTTGGTTCGAAAGGAGAATTGGGCCGTCGATACAACGGCCGGCGCTTGGTCAACGCAGTCCGGGTGAAGCCCGGAACCATGAAATCCCAAAAGGACATCGAATGGCCACGCATCTTCCTGCCGAGACGCTCGCGAATATCAATGCCGTCTGCCGCAACGCCACGGCGAGTGACCTCCTCCTCGACCGCGCGGTCACCAGGATCCTGCCCGTGGCTCTCCGCGCTGCCGCCGCCCTTCATCCTGATATGGCCAGCAGCGCCGCGCTGGTCTCGGCTGCCGACCTCTGCGAGCACCACTCGACCCGGGACGCAGCGGCGGTTGCCGCCGAGGTCGCTGTCGCTGCGGAGATCAGCGAGGTGTCGATCGAGCCCATCGGCCCGTCCTTCCGCTCCGCCTGCTTCAACGCCAGCCGTCTCGCCCTCGCCGCCTCGACCGGCCGGGTTCGCCCTTTCATCGCCTACAGCCTCGAAGCCAGCACCTACAGCGACGAGCTCCTCCCGGCCCTCACCGACGGCCTTCGGGAGGTCGCCGGCGAGATGAGCCAGTTCACCCTGATGGCGGCCTGAGCTGCGCTACCCGCACCACCCCAACGCGAGATCGAAAATGACCAAGATCACGACCATCGCCGGCCTCCAGGCGCTGATTGAACGTCGTAACAAGGCCAACGAAGATGCCCAGGGACGATCCTCCGGCCCCGTTTTCCTGTCGGCCGTTCTCGACCTGCTCGACGATCTGGACGCAGGCCGGCCGATTTCGAGCAGCGCGACCCATACGCAGAACTTCTGCGGCGCTGCTGAGCTCATTCTCATCCGAGGCTTCCGGTTCAGTATGCTTCCAGCCGGCGAGGCGGTTCTCGCCGAGGCTCGCACCAGCAGCGCATTCCAGCGGCGCGCCGCCTAAGCAGAAAGCCCCGAGAGAGGCTTTTCTTTGGCCTAACGGCCAAAGTCCCGGAAAATCGAACCACGAGCAGCGAATCTCAGGAACCAGGAAATCCCAGGGGGACCAAGATGACGCTCAGCTGGATCGGCCCGATCACCACCGGCCACTCGCATCAGACCTATTTCGGCAAGAATGCCGTCGGCCGCGAGGTGATGATGATCAGCCCGGCGCTTCAGCCCGCCGACCAGAAGCCTCGCTGGGAAATCCGCTTCAACGACGCCAGCATGCGCATTCCCGCCATCCCCCAGCATGAAACCCTCGCAGCGGCGCAGGCCCAGGCTGAACTCGAGATGGATCAGCCAATAAGCAAGAGCGGCCTTGCGTCGCGGCTGCTTTGCGCTCGCCTGCGGGTCACGTCGCTATTCCCGGGAGCCCAGAACTTCTCCGATGGCGACCTCCGCGCCGCCTGCGAGCTGATCGCGCCCGAGTATCCGGAACAGGAGGTCGACGAGATCTTCGAGGATGTCCGCAGCTATCGCCCGTATCGGCCGAAGCTCACGGTCGCGGATCCGATCGCGACCTTCGTTCAGCTGAGTGAGCGAGTCGCGGCGTTGAGCGCCTGACGATTTCAAGGAGACCGGCACGATGTTCATCCCGCGCAAGGTCGCTGAGGCGAAGCCTCTCGGACTTTCAACGGCACAAGCCGAGGACCTCGCTAATAGATTTCGCGCGAGGTTCCTGGCGCCCTTCAGCGATGGAGATATCATGAAGCTCCTCCCAAAGATGGGAGGTCGCTGGACGACTATAGCAGTGATCGACCGTCGCGAGGGGCAGGACGATCTCCTTCTCGCGATCACGAAGGATAACTTCACCATCTCGACCATCGACTACGGCGCCGTCATGGACGATGGCCCCAACCGTCGGATTGATGTGGCACGCGCGATCGGGCACATGTTCCTCCACCATCCTCAACACATTGAGACACACGGCGCCAGCGTCGCCATGGTGGTCCCCCGTTACCCCGAGGCGGATGATGAGGAGGGCCTCAGCCTGCATCGCGAAGCCGCATGGTTCGCGCGCGAGTTGCTTGCGCCGGCCGCGACGGTGGCCGCTGTCACGAATAAGAATTCCAGGGCGGACGTGGCGACAATCGCCATTCTGGTCTCGCAAGAGCTCCGAGTTTCCAGGAAAATCGCGGCTATTCAAATCCGGCGGGCCGGCGACCTCGGATTGATCAATCGAAACCTCGAGGGGACCGCCTGAAGGCGGCGGAGCAATGAAGACGCTCAGTCCCGAAGATATTCAGGCCATTGCCGACTATCGAAAGACCTGGGGACCAGGGCCTTTCGAGACCGCAGACTGCGTCATTCTTCACCGGAATGCCGTGCTCATGGTCGTTCGCGACGACCCGCCGTTCGCCGGCACCTGGCAAGCCCCGGCGGTTTTGTCGATAAGGGCGAGCGGCCATACATGACCGCGCTTCGCGAGCTCGTGGAAGAAACCAGTTTTCGGCTTACGGTGGGACGGACCAGGATCATCGGCCTTGATGGAATCCTACGCCACATTGAGCGCGCATATGTTGGCTCGTTCCGGAAGGAGGGGCCGGATCGCGACCCACGCGCCCATATCAACACGACCACCTTCGTCTTTGATCTCGATCGGATCGGCGTCATCGACCGGCCAGGGGTGAAGCTGGCAGACGACGCTCGCGACGTCGGGTGGAAGGATTTCGCGGAGATCCTGAGCCTCGATACCTACGCCGATCATGAACAGATCGTCGCGCAAGCCGTGACGATAGCGCGACCAAAGGCGGGTTGATTTGCTCGTCTGAAAGAGTGAATGGGCATTCTTGAATACCCGTCGGAGTGTAGCGCAGTCCGGTAGCGCGCTTGCTTTGGGAGCAAGATGTCGCAGGTTCGAATCCTGTCTCCCCGACCATTTTCGTTTTGGGGGCCATAGCTCAGTTGGGAGAGCGGGAGCTTTGCAAGCTTCAGGTCGTCGTTCGATCCCGTCTGGCTCCACCAAATTTCAGAACCCCGCCCTCCAACGGCGGGTTTTCTTATGGTCGCTTGCATAATCTCAGGCGACCATCTTCACCGCCGAATATTCGGCAACTGATCCCGCCAATAGCCCGGAGTTCAAAGCCATCATGAAGACCTTGCACCTCCTCGCCGCCTCGATCGCTCTCGCTGCGATGGTCGACGGCGTTGGCGCCCAGTCGTTGCCGCAGATTAGCGGCCTTTCCGGGCGGACCAAGGAGCTCATCGAAACGATGAGAGACAAGGCTCGACTCCTTCAGGCGTGCTCGATCACCAAGGCTTCTTTCGCCGAAGCGGACTATCGCCAGAATAGCTTCGAGATTTTCGATCCGCGCTGGCAGGTCATCACGGACAACTACCAGTGCTGCACCACCCTGGTTGCGAAGCTCGGAGCCGATGCGACTGTGCCCCTACTCGGCAAGCTGAAGGTCGCCGGCGGCGGCCCAATTGCCGCTGCAGTGACGGTCGGCCTCGTCAACGCCTTCGTGAAGGGCGAGCTCAAGGAATTGCAGCGTGACATCCAGTCGGCAGTCGGGGCCGACGAGCAGGACCTGGTCAATGTCTGCCTGCCGACCGTCGCATTCGCCGCGGCGGTGACCACCGCTGCTCGCTAAGGGGTGGAGGCAATCGCCCGCACGGTTCAAGTTCTTGTTGAGGACGGAGCAGATCGTCAGATGCGTACCAAGAAGCAGATCCGTCAGATCGCGACGCGCAAGGTCCGGCGCGTTCTCAAGGTCGCCCCGATTTTTTCAAGGCAATCTCGGGACGACGCCTCAACCGAAATGGTTGGGATCGCACAGTGCCACGAAGCGATGTTCGATCAATCCGAGCCGAGCACCAATGAAGAAAAGCCGGCGCGGAGCGCCGGCTTCCTCGTCAACCGATTTTCACGCCGCGTCGTTTCAAGGCCTCGCGCAGCAGGAATTCGATCTCGGCGTTGACGCTGCGCATGTCCTCTTCTGCGAGCCTGCGCACAGCCTCGAGCAGGACCGGATCGGTCCTGATCAGAAGCGAGGCGCGCTCCCCTTTCGAGGGCCGCCCCGGCTTCCGCCCGGCCTCACTCACCCGTAGATCGTCCCGGCGTTCACCACCGGCGACGCCTCCCGGTCGCTAACGAGCACCACGAGAAGGTTGGAGACCAGCGCCGCCGTTCGATCCTCGTCTACCTTGACGCCCTTTTCCTTCAGTCCGTCGAGCGCGTCTTTCACCATGCCGACGGCTCCCTTCACAATCTGACCGCGGGCCGCGATGACGGCGCGCGCCTGCTGGCGCCGCAGCATCACCTGGGCAATCTCCGGCGCGTAAGCCAGATGCATGACACGCGCCTCCTCGACGACGATGCCTGCGACCGCCAACCGAGTCTCGAGTTGCTGACGCAGGGCGTCTGTAACCTTGGAGCCTCCGCCCAGCAACGTCAGCACCTCGGCCGAGCCTTCCCCCTTGCCGTCGGTTTTCTCGCCGTCGGGATCGCCGTGATGGTCATAGGGGTGCTCACTCGCGAAGGCGCGAAGGCAAGTCTCCGACTGGATCCTGACGAAATCCTCATAGTGCTCGACCTGGAGGACGGCCTTCGCCGGCGCATCGACATGCCATGCGACAGCCGCGCCGATTTCGACCGGGTTGCCGGACGCGTCGTTGACCTTCAAGTTTGATGTCTCCGTCACCATCGTACGGCGTGACACACGGTCGACCTGGACCAAAGGGTTCGCCCAGCGCAATCCCGAATTCGAGTCGGTGCCGACGTAGGTACCGAAGAGCGTCAGCACCGCCGATTGGTTCGGCTGGTTGATATAGACACCACCGACGATGGCGCAGCCGATGGCGAAGACCGCCAAATCGAGCAGGGCCAGCGTGAGGAAAGCGCCATCGACAGCCCCAGATTGCCGAAAACGAGGACCGGCGCCGCAACGATGCTGGCAAGGATCACAACCGCACCGGCTGCCAGTCCCATATACCCGTTCCATGAGTTGCAGGGCGGTCCGTGACCTCACTGCGGTTGAACGCAACTTCCCCAGCCAAGATAATCTCCATCGCATCGATAAGCGGGATTCGCTTATTTCTGATATCAAAAATATATCGCCGAGATATCCGTTTTCAAGGGGTGCTGAGCGGTGCGCTCAAATCCACTGAGGAAGGCGGGAATGGATACGATGAAGGCGAATGAGAGCGTGCAGATCACGACCGTCGTGCTCACAAGCATCGCGACGACCTGACCGGCTCCTTCTACGGCGGTCGAGGCTCTGCCCTCGGCAACCCGTTCCCGATCAATGATCGGTTGGGCGAGACGCGCGACGTCGTGATCATGCGCAACGCAGAGCGAGCGGCGAAAGACCCGGAGCTTCTGAGGGTCTATCGCACGATGAAGGGTCGCCGGCTCGTTTGCTTCTGCGCGCCGAAGCCCTGCCATCTCGACGTCGTCGGCTATATCGCAGAAGGCATAGAGGCCGACCCCGTCGTAGCCGCCAGGCGCGTCCTCGCAGGCGAGACGCTGGCGGTGTTGAAAGCGCGGTTCGACACTCAACCCGGACAGGCCGCATGACCGAGTGTCGTCCTTCAAACGGTCGAGACCAAGAAGACTGCGCTTCAAAGCGCAATCGCTCGGTGCGGCGACGCGTCCGCGCAGCCGGCGGTATCCACCGATGTCGCCGAGGGCTCCCAGCTCGATTTGGCGCCAACACCGGGCGTCTTCATCGTCCGCGGCACCGAACTCCGCTGCTTGCGGGATACACCAAGCCAATTCGCTGACCGGAGGGCCGGGATCGAGAATCGATCGTCCGACAAACCCCGGAAGGACAAGATCCATGCCCTACGACCACGACGGCCACGACGGTTACGCGGAAGCCAGCGAGTACGAGTTCAACGCGAGCTTCGACTATAGGAGCGAGGCCTATCGCGCGACTGCCGACGACGCCAACCAGATGGCCTCTGCGGAGGCCCAAGACGAAGCCGAAATTCGCTTCTATCTGGACTTCTGGGGCTCGGAGTACGGCCCTTACGCCGACCCGGCAGGCATGGTTTGGTCCGTGGCCGAGCCGATGGGCGAATACGCGACCGAATACGGCCCCTACGTCGCGCCGACATCCGTCGATCCGCTCTCGACCTTCTTTTTCTGAGGCGACCAGATGGAAAGGCTCGACTGGCAGCCCATTCGAGAGGGCTCGACCCTGCGCGCAACGTCGGGGGAAGGATATTGGCAAATCCGCCCGCCGAAGCGAGGTGAGCCAGCCACCATCGATTTCAATCTCGCTGATGGCCGGACTTATTTCGAGATCAAGGCGGCCTACGACGCGGAGAGGCCCACTGAAGGCTCCGATGCCTACTGGAGGTATTGCTCCCTGCTCGGCATGAGCGATTTCGACCACGGCTATGCCGACACCAAAGAAGATGCCGTTGCGCTCATCGAAGTCCTGATGCAGGGCGACGCTTCCGGCGACGCCGACCAAATTCTCGCTGCCGCCGGCTTCCGCCTCCACAGCACAACGGAGAGCACGAGCACTTATCGCCACGCAACCCGAACCGGCTTCTCGCTCTGCATCTCGCCCGAGGCGATCTACCTCGAATTCCAGAAGGCCGGGTGGACGCATTGGTGCAATCTGGCCAGGTTGGCGCTTCGCGGCGACGGCCTCGGTATGGACAGTAATGAGCAAGGCTGTCCAGTTTTCTGGCCCGAGCGCATCACGCAGAACTTCCGCGTCCTTGCCATCCGCGCCTGCCTTTTGATGGTTGACCGCTACATTGCGGACGGTCGCCACATGCGCCGCACCAACGGGCGCTGACGCGGCCCTGTTCGGAGCAATTCGGCCGGCTCGCGCATCGCGCCGACTTCATTGAACGTTTCGCTGACCGTCTCGCAGGCCCGGCCACCAGCCGGGCTTTTTTTCTGCGCCAAGCGCAGGGCTGACTGCCTTCCAATGCAGCGATGGATAGCAACGCAGAGGCTCAGGACTGCCTCTGCGGATCTGAATTCTAGACAGATGAAAGATGACCGCTGGTCAAGCTGAATTCCCAAGGAAGAAGGCGAGATCGAGCGAAGTCACAGAGTGATCAGGAATCAAACAGAATTCCCGGTCGGACAAGAGAAACCCTTCAGGCGCCGAACGAAATCGCGCCGATCACAGACGAAGGATGTTACGATGACCCAGGCCACCCAGAACCAGACCCAGACCACCGAGCGTCAGCGCGCGTTCCCGCTGTCGGGCACCCTGACCGAAGTCGAGTCGAAGGTCGATCGCGTCGGCAAGCCCTACCTGTCGGCCAAGTTTAACACCACCATCAAGAAGAAGCCGGTGACCGTTCGCGCGATGGCGTTCGGCAAAGCGGCCGAGGCCGTCAAGGGCATCTTCATCGAGGGCGAGGCCCGTCTGTTCGGCCTGTTCGAGAAGCCGAACGGCGAGTCGAAGGGCGGCGCCTTCCGCGTCATCGCGCCGGGCCTGCCGCCGAAGGCCGCCGCCGCGGCCTAATACTGGCCTCCTGATCCGCGAACCCCGGTGTTCCAGGACGCCGGGGTTTTTCTTTGGGCCGACTGCCAATCCCAGCTGCTCGATAGGGAGCAACGGGTGAACCCGGATCGAGAAAACCCCGAAAGGATAGCTGTGATGAACCTCGTCACGCCGATCTCCAAGAACACGGCATCAGCAGCTTTGCGTTCATCCCTGCGCTCGAGAGCCTTGTTTTCCAGGCATTCCTGCCGCAGGCGATCCGCGCGATTGAGGTGGTCGACTGCGAAATTCTCAATGGTCTAGCCGCAGAGCTGGAAACCGACCAAGGGGTCGTCATTGGTCTGCATGCTGCGACCAGCGGCCACCACTCCAGTCAGAAGGTTCTCGACGCTCTCGCGCGATCATTGATCGGCGAACGACCCGACGCGACCGCCCCCGCCGACATCCACTCACCGAGCTTGGCAACTCCATTCGCAGCTTCGTCGCAGCCTGCTCGGTCGCCTTCGATCCACAGCGGTATCAAATGTCCCTCATCGCGCTCGC